CTTAATAGTCAACAGTGAGATCAATGCAACTGCAGAATAGCCTCTCACTGGAGGTAATACAAGCCTATCTGAGAGGGATCATCAACCCAAAATTCAGTAAAAAATACACTTTCATTAGACTTTGCATTGAAGCGATCTGAAATGACAAGAGACAGCCAGAAATTTTCCATCCACATCTTTTTGTTTATGAGCATTTGAAATTTTGCTTGTTTTATTTTTGGCTGATAATGTCTGCTTTAAAATGAGGTGGTTTGTGGTTTTTTTTCTCTTATCAGAACACAGAAAAAGGAAACCACAAAGTTTTCCTTTTTGGTAACCTATACATTTCAATGGGGAAAAAAAAAAAAAAAGACATTTTCTCTGGGAAAAAATGTCACCTATTCCAGCTAGCTGCAAAAACGAGCATCTCGCATCTTCTGCAATAAACCACACATCAATGCATGTTCAAGAAGCTGTGAAGGAGGACCTGAACATCTTTTTTTTTGTATTCAAGGTTTAGCCTATGTTATTTCACCTGGCATTTTGGAGAAGTGGATTGCCTGGACAATGAATGCTTTTAATATTTTGCCACTACTCTTAGGAGCACAGCTGAACACCCACCCCCCACCCCCCCAATCTTACTGTTCACCTTTTTTATTTTTTCACTCTTCTGCTTCACTTTTGCTTCACTCAGTTTGTCTCACTCACACTCACTTTGTCTCACTCAGTTTCATGCCAGTCAGTGCTCCAGGTTAGTCCCACCCCAAACATCTCTCCACCTTTAGCTTTAAAAAAAACCTTCAACAGCAGAGCATCTGAGGTGGTAAATAACACATTGCTAATGATCAGTGACCGCAGTGAAGCCACAGAAGGGGGAATGGACAGGATTTTCACTGCTCTTCTGTGCAATGTTTTTTATTGATCTATCAGTTGGATGCTTCTGTGCTGCTCTCTTAAGTCCTTAATACTGGAAGAGCTGTGAATTATGGGTTTTCCAGGCAATATTGTCCTCTCATGGCTACTACTGACTTAGCATGGATGGGACATTGAGGAACTAGCTTCGAGACCCAGTGCAGAGGGTTGGAATCACACTGATCGGTTCTGCTCCCATGGGGAGGATCAGAGGAGCTTGTCTTCCTGCCCGTCCTAGCAGTCCTCCGTGCTGCTGGCCATGCAGAGGGCTCACACGCACCCCCAGGCACTGCGGGTTATACCCGCAACTTTGCCATATCACAGGGTACTTAAGACCTCCTAGGAATGGCTGCCCAAGGGAGCTATGGATTTCAGGGTGGGTTTTTCTTCATTATTTTGTGCATTTACTATCTGAAAGATGCATGAAGTGCCTCTGAATCCTTGCTTCCTAGTCCTGAGGGGGGATTTGTAATAGAATATATTGATTTTGGCAGAGTTGCCTCAAATTATCCCAGTTTCCTACTTTTGCTTTCTCTCACCCCCCCCCCCCCCCTCTTATTTTTTTTTTTCCCCCCCCCCCCCTTTTTTGTCTTTCCTACAACCACCTCTTTAATTATAATGAAAAAAAAGAACAGAGGCAGCCATTTTGGAAACATTTTGCCATCTGAATTCTTCAGGGTTTTGCTTGCAGCAGCATGTGAGCTTATCTGCCATATCACAGAGACCCTTTCAGTGTTTGACAGCAACTTTAGAGCACTTGCAAAGAAAACAAAGAACTTCTGTGGCCTAGACTGCATGTGTCCAGAAAGGGAGATTTATAAGTTAAAAAAAAAAAAAAAGTGCATCCAGAATTAAAATTGAGTGAAGATCTTTTTTTCTTGGTTAGGAAAAAGCACTCTGGTGGATTACATCAAACTGGGTGCTGCTTGTGGTTTTGTTGGCAGCTTCTTATTTCTGGAAAGAAGTTCAATAAAACAAAGCTCTTCTTTAGAAAAATCCTAATTAAAAAGTTTCTTGAGCATCCTCTTGAAGTACATGAGTAATTGCCCTGATGTCAATATGGTTATGCACATGCTTCAGACTGGAATTAAGGATGCTGAAGAGCTGCGACTAAAGTAAAACTAGATAAAAAACATACAGGAGTTACTGTGTTTCTGCCAGTTAAGGGAGCTGCCTGCTCTCACACTTTTTAATAGCTGTCTGTGCTGCACCCATGGGCCTGGCTGGCTTCTGTCCTAGTGTTTTTAGGAAACTTCTTGTTGCAGTAATGACACTGTCTACTGAGTGGGCAAGTCAGAGAAATCCAGTGGTATTTCAGAGCTGACTGGAAGTTGCACATCAAACCTGCCATGGGGGTACAATGACACCGTGCTGAGCCAAGAACTACTGACCTATCTCTAAGTAAGGCTTATTACAGAGGGCTTAGCCCTCTGCTGACTTGTGGCCATCACTACAAAAATCCTCTGTCTGCTTCTAGAGTGCTGGTATGGATGTTTCTGAGCACTGGATGAGCTGAAGAAAGAGCTGGATCTAAGACCTTCTGAGCTTCTGGGTATCCTTGCTGCCACCGAGTGTCCTCTCCAGTCTAATCTGGCGTGGTAGTCCCTGTGCTAAATCAGATCCTTCCCTGGGATATGCTCCTTCTGTGTCCTTCTGGGGCCACAAGCATTTGGCCAATCCCTTTTGTTAGGTGCAAAAAAACACACACAAAACTTTTTTTCCTGGAGACCTCTCTCCTGCTAAAATACAGGTACATGCTCATCTCCCTCAACTTCTTCAGCTCTTCCCACCAACGTGGGAGTCTACAAGAGAATAAGGACCTCTGAGCTGCATCTACTCCATTATGATAGGGACTATCTGTACATCTAATAAAGGCTTAATAAGCAGAGGATGGAAGTGATCTGGTGGTAACAACTGAACTGATTTTACTGGACAACAGAGCATTAAAATCAAAGTAAAAGCCAGGAAGGCTAAAGGACTTCCTATTTAGAGGTGACAACTCAAGACCATTCTACTGCTTTGCAGGAAAGAGAAAAAATGGTCTGAGATATATGGAATTTTATTGCCATTTTACCAGCTGATTTCTTTTTATATCATTTATTGGGGGGAAAAAACCCAAAACAAACAACATATCTTAGTCCTACTACTGAGTAATCTTTTTACAGGAAACAAGCTGAGACCTCAACATCAGTCTGATCATGAAAAGGTAGAGGCAGAGCACTTCATCATGATCCATGATAGTGAAAACACCATAGACTCATACCAATGAACCTTTAACAGCACAGGTGTCTACAGCCTTGCACTTTCTTACACGACCATAAGAAACAAGCATATCCTCAGTGATCGCAGCTATGCTACGATATAAAGCTATTGCTTGGTGTCAAACTAGGGAGATGCTTGTGCTCCTCAACCCCTTTGCAGTTGTTATTGAAAATCTCCCCAACAAAGACAGTTCCTGCTTTAACAAAATTGCATGCATGCATCTCCCGCTCTCCCACAGCAAAACCTGCAGTAAAAAGCCAGTGTGATGAAGCAAAAAGCATTTGGATATGGAAACACATTTTGGTTTCAAGCTTCCAAGAGGCCTTGTCATAAGCAAGGAAAAGAAAAGAGGTTTTTGAAGAGGGAAAATTCATTCACAGTTATCTTCATCTAGTCATGTATAAAGGAGAATCTAAACTATGGAGGCTGTACCTTGCACGTGCACCTGGTTATTGAAAGGTTTCTTAATCTGCTTTATGTTGTCTTCAGTGCAGCACCTCTTTCAAAGACATTTTGATCCCATTCCTTAATTCTCAGTGGAAAGGATACTGCTCTGAAGACTGGAACAATACATTGTCCAAAGATATTAGAGATATCAGTGAAAAATTAGAACAGTTTGTAGTTCTTTGGGGAGGTTGAAGATAGGGATTTCCTGCCTGTACCTTAGATGCGTCAAAAGAGACCTGAATCAAAATCACTGAATTATAGACATAGATATAATGGCCTTGAAAGTTCACTTAACCCTTCTCTCTGTCACTAATTTGGGAGTTCAAACTGCTTATTGCAGCTTAGGGTTACCCTAAGTACTGGATTTTTTGGGGAAACTCTGGTGTGGAACAGTTTTAACAGCAGGAAGAGTTCCTATCTCTGTAACACATATGGGTTTATATTTCTGTTTCTCGAAGAATTATCTAATGGAAAAGCCAGCCAGTGGTGGAAAATATTTCCATTTTTGGAAACATCTCCATTTTTGTTATTGGTGATAGGCTGGGATTCCAACGAAACGAGCTGCTGCTTTTGATATTTTTGACACTGTTACATGTATTAGAAGTTCCCTTGGAGCACCAAGCTGGCTCCTTTCCAACAACACAAGGTACATGAGTCTAACAATGAGACCCTCATTCATATTTGTCTAAGTCCTCACTCAAGCAAAGCTTCCTTGGCTTTGGTTGGGGTTTCTCTACACACAGAAGTTAACAGTAACTGAGCAAGAAGCGAGCTTCGATCATTCTATTAATTTCTTGGGTTTAAGAAGAAAGAAATTAGGGGTTATTTAGTTGTCAGGGAGACATATTTACATAAAGTTATTATGCTGGGATGAAATTGGATACAGACTATATCGCATGAAGAATGAAGAATGCTTTGAAACGTTTGCAACACAGAGCTATTGAGACAGACACTGTCCCAGTCCAGTCACCTGGGATTATACTGCAGCCCAGTCCCATCTCTTAATTGCAGATTTTCTTCAGCCACCAGAAATGCTCTCTTTGGCTGAGCAAGGGGAATCAGGACAGCTGCTGGCTCTCCTCTAGTGACCAGGAAGACTTTCTAGACATGCGGGATGCCTCTGGGTTGGGGAACTTGGCTTGTCCCTCGTTAAGCATCCTTCCACCTCTTTTTCTAAAGAGATGCACACACAAACAGTTCCTGGTTTATGTGTGGGTGCGTATCTGTGCAGTGTGGCTCTAGACAGAGGCCTAAGTGAAAGAGGCAGAAGCTAGAGAGTCACGGAGCTGAATCTTTTTGAGGGTCTACAACACAAAGAGAGGCTACAACCACAGCTGACACCCTCTTTCCCATGCAGTTACCTGTGCTAGTGCTTTGTATCCAGTGGTTCCCACAACTCTTCAGTAGGGACGATTAGCATCCTTTGGCCTCTTCAGCTGCACCTTCAGCCTCTTCATGCCAATCTGGAAGCCATTCATAGCCTGGATAGCAGCTTGGGCACTGGCAGGATTGTCAAAACTCACAAAACCTGTCAAAACATGAGGCAAGGCAGGAAGCTTAATGAGCAGAAGGGAGCCAAGGCACGTACATGCAACGACCACTGAGAATGAACATGGGGAAAGGGGTGAGGGCGGCGGGAGGGAGGGAGCAAGCAGGTAGAAGGCTGGGCAGGTGGGCAGGTGAGTGAGGAGAGGATGGTTGCCAATGGGGGACGAAGGGTAGGAAGGGCTGTTACAGATTAGTGTCCCAGGACACAGCACCTGGTCTGAGTGCCAGTTTGGACACAAGACTGTGTGAAGCACAGGGATTCAAATGCTGGTGCCACAGTACCAGCACACACAAGGTTTGGGTCACCTTTGAGCTGGGTGTCAGCAGATGTGATGCATGGTCTCAAGGCACTCTGTCTTGCTCTTTTTCTCTCCATCATGACTGGGGTAAATCTCTAGGCTCTCCTTCACTCACCAACATAACCTTTCCTTTGCCTTCTGATATTCACAATGAAGAGAACCTGATATACCTGCTGCTACTTCCTTATTATGGCAATATAAGTAAAATGTGAATTTAATAAGTTCTCCATTATGGTATTCATTGGCATGAATAGTTTGATTGTTGGCCACTTAAGCAATATGAGGAGCTTTATTAACTGGCAATTACTGCAGCCTTTCTGTTGACTCTGAGGTTGAGAAAGATGAACACTAGTGCTTTCCTAACATGGTTTTCACAAGTAGCAAATCATCCAAACAGCCCTGAGGCGCATCGAGCAGCAGAAACACCTATAGTGACTGAATATTGTATTTGCAGGCCACCTAAAATGACATTCTTTGTCTCAATGGAAGACTAGCTTTCTGGGGATCTGAAGAGCCAAGATAGGTCAGAACCATGCAGAATGCAATGCATCTAATGCATTCAGCTTTGGGGAGGATTTTCCGTGTGGGTTTATTTTTTTTTTTTCCTTCATCTTCTTTTTATGTTAGCTCCAGGAAAAGGCCTCAGTTGCCCAGACTGTATATGACTTTATCTGGAGTGACCATGGGTCTGAGATACTAGTGAGTCGGGGGGCCATCACATTGTATGAGAATTGCCTCTGATACCTTTGCCAAAAATGTCCCTGTGTGCCAACAACATTTCTGAGCACAAACCCTGGGTAAGACTAGCCTGGACCAGCCTGCAGTCCAGACAAAGCCATCTGTTTTCCCACCCCTGCAAAGCTCTGGCAGCACAAATCAACCCTAGGAAACCAGTGTCTCTCAACAGACAGGCTGAAAGAGACAGTTTGAGAGCCCCTCAAAAACCTAATGCTGAGCATTTGCTGCCAGGTATACACCTGCTCCTGACAGCAGCACCAGGCATGGCGTACAGCCTTGGGCTGTACTGGGAATGCATTCAGCGGCACCTCCTCCCTGGTCTAGTTCCTTCTTGAAAGCAAGTCTCACAGATGACACAGGGTGGCTTGCATTTGAAAAAGACAGACGTACACATGCACACATATGCAAGCACACATTCTCACTCTTGCATTGAAACTGTACTCTCTGCCTTTGGCTAACAATGTAAGTTTATATAAAAGCTACGGTCTTGGCCTCAAAGTGAGACAACAGGTTTACTGAGTATGGCACATGTGGTTTTAAGAGGGGGGCCCATGGAATAAACAGGCATCCCTCTTTGTCCTCTCCTCTTGAAGCCATGGCTCCAAGTAACTGTCTGTCCATGCAATTTTCCTGCCAACCACCTGCATGAGGAGGTATCAACACTGCAGCTCTGAAAATGTGAGCAAAAGTGTTGCTCCAGCCTCACAGCAGTCATCAATCTTTAGACAGAAAGTGGAGAGTTATGGTGAATAATGAGCTGGGGTATTATTCAATGGCAAAGTATTTGCTTCTGCAATCCCTTATTAGCCAGTGAGAACCTGGTAATGTTCCCAGTTTACATTTGACTAGTTAAATAATCTATCAGTAAACAAGGTCTTATGATTTGATCTCAGCAAAGAAACAAACTAAACACCTCCTGATTTCACCTGAGCTGATCCAGTCTTTAAATACTGCTGGAAGATCCCTTAGAAATGTTTTCCTTGATCTTCCACTTGAAATTTTCTGTCTAGCTACCTCACATCTTTGAATATAGACTGTAGTAAAAGCCAGTTCTTTTTAAAATCACCTCTGGACTGCTAATACTCCTGTCCGAGACCATGAGCTACAGCAAACGAAAACTGTGCCAGGCAAGTTCAGAGAAAGCAGAACCCAATCATCTGTACTGAATTTTTAGAAAAGTCCTTGACATAGTTGTGGTTTGTGCCTAAGTCCAAACAATTCCTGGACAAAGTCAGTGTATTAGCACAGAACAGAGGCTGTTTTCAGTAGTTAGCTTGGATGTGGCCATGATATTCTGGAAAGTAAGAGAATGTAATAGTTTGGGTGTGGGCCATTCTGTGCCAGCTGGCGGCAGTGCTAGGGGAAAGTGCCAGGTATGTTTACTTTACTAATATATACACAGCTACCAAATATCAAAGCTGAGTTGGCTGCAGCTGGATAATTGCTTATGTCACATCTTTAGGGAACCTAGCTTGCCTGTGAACTTTGATTTCTACTCTTGTAACTGGTCCTGTTGCAATGTACCTCTTACTAACTAAGCGTACACATCTAGATAGTGTGTCTACACATGCATCCATTTGTGAGCAAATCACCTTGGGATCCTCAAATAATCAGTGGAGGTCTAGCCAATATAGTTAGTGGAGTGTAGGACATGATTTCTCTCTTTTTTCAGGACACTCGTAGCTGTGCTCAAGTGAATCAAGTCCCACTGGCTAGTAGTAGGGAGCAGTGCTGACTGCAACGAAAGCAGGCACCTAACTTAAATCGAGGTACTTCTATTGTGGGATTTACCTGATTCTGCAGTGACGTTAACTGCTGAGTCAAACTCCTAATGCATGGAAATCCTACCAGACCTGCTGCAAGTCTACTATTTGTCTACTTTTGCCAAAACTAGACCTTTAGTTGGCTGATAAGTCCTGGTGCTGGCATGCTGATACAGTTATACCTCTGCAAGAACCTTGCCTTTAGATAAGCTCACAAAGCTATGCTAGTTTTTATCATCGCTTTGCTTTTCAGATGGATTTCTCAGGCCATTTCTTCATTCTGTGCAAAGTTGTAAATAATACAGCATTTTAACAAATGGGACTAATAAAAGAGATCAGAAGTACATTTGCTCACTATCTTTCATTTAGACCAGATAATGAAGCTGAGAGTTGCACTCTGTTGCTATTAGTTGCCTACAGATTTAGAGCAGATTTGGATTGTTTATTTTTCTGTCCTTAGTTATCCTGGTATCCACTGCTGTAACATGAAAACCTCCACTGGCTGGCTGCTGAGGGTGGAGGGGCTGGGGTGGGAGGGGTGGGGAGAGAGAAGGGGGAGGGCAAATGCCAATAATTGTGTATTTTACATATGACCACATTCTAGGGACAGAGCAGCTAATTCCTCTAGCTTCGAGTGTTTGAGTTTCAGGGGACTTGATATGCCCAGAAGTTTCTGGTGCATTTGGCTCTCACCCTTCCTGTTATTCATGTGGAGTTGTAATTCATATTGTTGAGGGTATTTGGATAGACTCCAGAAAAAAAAAATAAAAAAAAAAATCTATGGCTTATCTTGAGAGTTGAGATGTCACAGTGGTAAGGGATAGCCAGATAGACAGACAGACAAGCTGTGCTAACAATATCATATTCTTTTCTCTTTTCAGGTTAAATACCCACTGGCAGATTATTTGTTGTTCTTGTTACATGCACTCTTGGCAGTTAACCATCTTTGTTTCTCTATGTCAATGTCAGCAGTGTTAATGGTGCTATGCCAGATTTAAACATGTATGACTAGGAACAGAATGTATGTACTGGGAAAATAGCTTAAATACTTGCTTTCTGAATGGCTTTAATGTTTAGGCCCGTGACTATAGGGCTCAAAGCATGATAGTACTACAGTTGCTCAAGAAGCTATCTGCGTGTTGAACACCACCCCTGCATTGTCATCTACGCTCTTGAAGGACAAAAGAGAAAGGGAGAGGTTAAAAAGCTTGAAGCTGTTTCTGTGCATCAGTTAATTAATAATCAGAGAAATATATGTTCTGGTCTGAAGATGGTTGGTAGGAGGACAGGATTTTGTGATAAATCTATTTTATGTGGGAGATGTGGGTTTTTTTTCGTTCCCCCCCCCAGGGATTATGTAAAAAGGCTGTTCTAATAAATGATTTATCAAAGCAGCAAAGAATGAAGAAATCTGCTAGGACTGCAGCTCATGGCATCTAATCTTCCTGCTTCTGCATGGCGTCTTCCAGGAAGGTACTGATGTTGGACTCCATGACTTCTGACCTGCTCTTTGCCTGTTGGTTTATCCCCATTTCTTCCACTGGAAATCTCGGTAGTGGGGCATGCTGAGGGAGCTTTATGCCCTTCTCATGATGCCAGCATGATCACCAATGACTTTATGTAACTCATATTACTCAAGGGCTGTTTCTCTATTTTAATCAGCTCAGACGATAAAGAAGGGAATTAGCAATCTATCTCAGAGTGCATTTGAAGACTGTTTTGCAACTGTAAACTTTTCATTCACAGTGAGTAGTGTTTCTGCATTGCCATGAATCAGTTTGTGCACTAAGTGCAATCCTGAATGAGCACATCGTTAGGTTCCCATGGATTCCTAATTGGTCTTTTTGAGTTTTCTGTTGCTGTTTGCATGCTGCAAGGAGAATTAGCGGTTAATGTACAAAACAGCCTTTTAATGATCTGCTACCAGGTTGGAATAACATGTTGCCTCTCTTCAGCAGAAGCTTTCCTCTGGATGGAGCCCAATGCTTGGTAACTACACTGAGCGTCCCCTAAATCAGAAGTCAAGACCACGGTGAATGACAAGTCTAGATGCAAGCTTTTGATCCAGACTCCTGAACTGGGGGCAGATGGTCCTACAGCCTGTCCACTCATGTAACTAGGGTGGTTTCTGGCAATGGAAAGGAAAAGAGGAACCTCAAAGAAACAAATATTTAACTTTA